ACCCCTGTTTCTCCTTGGACGAGTATCCTCATAAAACGCCGAACCTTCAATTCAAAACATGAAGGGCCCTTCACATTTTAGTCCCTTACCCTCATCTCGGCCCCAAATAACCCAAAAAATCCTCTCGACCATAGCAGCCCCCTGAGCCTTCAACATCGGACAGTTCACGAGAAATAAATCCCATTCGGCGACCATCGATCATCTTCAGTTTGTTGCTGTCAACAACGCAATCAACGTATTTCGTTTGAACGCTACTAGCTAATCCCCAATATATAAGACCCAAATCCCCGCATAACCTTCAAAATCTCAATCAGCTTGAATTTCTATTGTAGATATAATCGGTCGTCTGGTAACCCTGCATGGCACGGTCAGGGCCTCCAATCGTAAAAAAAAGGAATCACAGGAGCGAGAGGGAAGCTGATAGTATCAGGTGGACGCGCATGCCCGTTCCTTGGACCTGCCTTGGTGAGGCAAGGCCGAGGGTTATAATATCTTTCACCTCTTTCTAGCCAACTGCCCCATCCTTCGATGCTGCGCCAATTTTCTTGGGTTGATCGGTAGGCTATAGTTGCGATGCCAGCTGGCCACCGAGATTCCCAGCTTCGGACAAGATAAGGCAGCGATTTCTAGAAAAGAAAAGCCAGAACTGCTCGCCGCGAAGCGACGTTGCAAGCAGCGATACGTACGCAGTATTTGCACCGGGATCTTATAACCGACCTCTTAGCGACCCACTCACTTGTTTTTTCCTCAGAAATGGTTACTCTTTCGGCTGATACACTCCTACTGCTACCGTGTCAACTAGACAAGATCGGAGACGAGGGACTCATTTCGCTGAACTGGCCACTGGTAGGGTTAGTAGACCGTGAAGGCGTCACTACTCTTTTCAGAGCATGAGTCATCCCCGGTTGCTGTCGAATGACCTCGAACTGGCTGACTTTCACTGCCTGTCACTATCATGTGAATAATGTCAACGACGTTACGAATAGGGCCGAAAATACTAGACTTTCGGGACAACTAGTTCAACTACAATTAAACAGGTACTCTGGAAGACGAGTTGAAGTTCTGAATAGATTTCTGTGACACACTTTGCCGCAAAGAGCTGCCTAGGCATGGGTGCATCTCGAAAAAGATCACATTTCAGCTCAAATTCAGTGAAATTGCCAAACACCATATGAAATGGAACAAGAGTAACTATTGCGTAGACGAAATTATCCACATAATTATGACCCTCCAAATGGAAGCCGTTGGACAATAAAAATATGGGAAAATTTTCTCATTTTCAAGTCAACACTGATCGCTGTGAATGTGACCCCTGTCTCGAAGATGAAGGAGACACGGAATACTGGGACGACCAAACGACACTTTCAACTGTTATGAGGGAAATTCCTCTTAACCCGAGGGCAGAATTGCAAGTGCGCAATCCCATCGCAGGCTCCGCCAGGTAGCGCCACCCTGCAGGGCAACATCGTCGTTGAGTCCCCAGCGAAGGCGATCATCGTTTGGGTCGCCTAGAGACGGGGGGGGTGATCTGGTCATCGAAAAAAAAATAGTTTTCGGACTGTAACATGTCGTGTTTAATCCCCTCGTCTCAGCGTATATCTCCAATCCTCCCCCCCTGCCGCTCGACGGGAGGGGATTTTGTTGGGAGTTCGAGAGTGGAGGAAAATTTCTGGATAAAAAAAACTTGTGAGTATTAAATTAAGTATTACTTATTGGGTAAGGAGCTGGATGACTGGTTAGTTCAGGATGGATGAACTGTGGTGGGGGGGGTATACCAAAGTAAAAAAAGACTTGACGTCGGGTCGTATTTCGCAAAGAATTTCCACCAACGGCAGTACGGGGCCTGTTGCAGACTCCATATCCCGAAGATGGGGAGGGCATGACTGCGTACTACATCTGAAGGCGACGGTGGCTGAGAGTTCCCTCTCAGTCTGACGTGGGGGCCGCTGAAGGGGGGAGGGGTCGAAGGGTAATTGAAATGAGTGGAAATTTCTAAAGATCTGGCTCATCCATACCAGGGATAAGTGCTCCCGAAAATCCAAATTCGTCCTCGCGTCATTTAATAAAACTCAATGAGCAAAATATATAAAAACACAAATAGTGTAAAGATATAATAGAAATAACCCCCCTAGAAACTGAGAACTCACATAAAGACAAGGTACTGGCCAGTGGAACTGCCGAATATTGGGCCATGTCTTCCTGAGTTCATCGCGAGCCACTGTGTCGAGTGTGACGAATATCAATCGCTCGTGTACTCCTGGTAGGCTAGCGGTATTACAAAGGAAGTTGTAAGTCATGTTGAGGGCGTACTGGTTCAGCAGCAGGAATGCTGGCGGCCGTGTAAACTCCACATCGAGCATGTGGATCAAATCATCGAACTCACGAGAGTTCTCGATTATTTCCTGCGCTACCGTATGCCCATGCCGCTTAACGTATCGTACGGCAGCGATAGCATTTTGTGTTTTCCGTAACACCAGAATACCAAAGAGAAACCAGAAGGCATAGAACAATATCACAGGCACCCGAAAAAGTATCCTCTCTGTAGTAGAAACGCTAGACTTTCGCGATTTCTTTGGCTCATCGGAGGTAGAAGGTGATGGCGAGACGATGTCCCCGGCGGCGTCGGCCACATGGCGACGTCGCAGATCAGTGCCCATTGGCCTGTAGATGTGCAGTACAGCGCGCTACGACGGTTGAACAGCAACTGGACGGACTGATACGATGGTGACGGCGGCGGCGACCTGAAAGCACTGAACCGCGTAAATCGTACGCAACGAATCCGTGACGAATGGCACAAATATTTATGGTAAGCATAACGGAGTGGAAAAACACCGAAAGAACCAGGAGTTTGATCTTTGACGATTTCCATAAAAAAAGAGCTTATGATTAGAAGTACATGGGTACAAAGGTTCAGATTTCTTAAAACAGATCTGGGTGCTAATGGGCATGCAGGGGCATTTGAAGGGTTTCCTGTGCAAAACTACGAATAGCCATCCGATAGAATTACCCTGTTTGATAACAGTTCACCCGTCCCAGAGATCCTTCCACCCACAACCATGGTACAGCATCGTGCGAAACATATGGAGAGCGGTCGTACGTCCCGCTGAGGAGGGAGGGAGAGGGGGGGGGGGGAGCGCTGCTTGACCAACTGGGGAGAGGGAGGGTGTCGTTATGTGCGTCGATGATAAGTTGAAATAGTAGTGGTTTCTGACGAACGACCCCCCCCCTGCTCAACGAAAATTTCTGGGGAAAAGTAGCAAATTTTCGGGAAATTTCGAAAAAAACTGGTAGGAAGCCTGGAACATGTAGGAAAGGGGGATGTAGGTGCCGTGGGAGGAGGGAAGGGTCGTACTGGCAGCGCGCCATTCCACACCACACAATGCTGTACTCTGCCCAGAACAGGCCTATGTAAAGAAGTCTTATATCCATTAGTAAAGAAGTCTTATATCCATTACAGTTTTTCTGGTTTTGCAAAAAGAGTCCCTGAAAGCCCCTTTCGGGGTAGCGCCCAGATCGGAGTGTTAACTAGAATACGTAGATTCCCGTTGCCATTCTGATATGTAGGTGCACGACAACTCTATAAGTAATTCAGCTTCTAATGGAAACAAAGTAATCAGGAGAATATACGACATCGATTTCCTTGACTCGGAACCTCTGTTTAGCGGATCCCGCGCGGTGGAGGAAAGCGTATGAAGGTGAAATTCCTTAACGATGTCCACTAAAGAAGAAAGCAGATGATTGGAAGAATACTTGGTGATCGTTTCAGTCCGTTCGACACTAAGAGAATCCTTATGGGATCACTACGCCCGTCAAACAATATGGCACAGGCAGCCTGGGAACTCCTGATGTCCCTAGGAGCCAGTGGATCTTTTCTGAGATTCGAATAGCTCTACTATGCAGCCAGCCGTCTGAATCGAAATGCTTGTCGCGTAGTAAAATGGTAGCGAAAGTTGTTCTATGAAATAACCCAAATCTTCGACCCCACGCGAAAGTCAAAGAAATGAACCGACTGTTGATCAACTCAAGTAACATGTCAGTATTCGCAATTGTTACCTCCAATGCGCCACTTATTTTTAATGCGGTTCAGCCGATACAACACAATAAAAACAATATTGTTTTAGTTGTCCTTTTACACTGTATGCACTAGTCTACCGGCACTTGTTAAGTAGTTTCAAGAAGAGATTACTGGAGAAAAAACCCTGATCGCGTTTTTTTTTCGTTTTTCGTTATAGAGCTGTTCCTGTTGACTTTTTGTATAGATACCCATATATATTAGAATCAGCTCGCCGAGCTGTATCCGAGGGTATGCTCATATTCTACTTTTTGGCGCCACTTTGCGACACCTTAGCGCCACAACTTTTCTCAACAACATCTGTATAAACTTGCTTACTGGGGCTATTCAGTGCCCTCTTCATGAAAGTGGCATTCATTTTTAGCCGTGGCGCCATTTGGCGCCATTAGGTGCCAATTTCGCGCCACTAGCGCCACTTCGGTGACACGACCTTTCTCAAAAAAATCTGTATACAAAGTAAGTGCGGCCGAAATTTGGAACAAAATGGCACCGAACAGGCGCCCATGGCTGGAAGTGAATGTTACATTCGTGATCAGGGCACCGAGAAACCCCATTATGCAAGTTTATACAGATTTTTTTGAGAAAGGTCGTGTCGCCAAAGTGGCGCAAGTGGCGCGAAATTGGCAGCCTAATGGCGCCAAATGGCGCCAGCGAGCTACAAAATGAATGCCACTTCATGAAGAGGGCACTGAATAGCCCCAGTAAGCAAGTTTATACAGATGTTGTTGAGAAAAGTTGTGGCGCTAAGGTGTCGCAAAGTGGCGCCAAATGGCGCCAAATGGCGCCGGCCAAAACCCAATGTCGTAGAACATGAGCATACCCTCGAATACAGCTCGGCGAGTTGATTCTAATCATATATGGGTATCTATACAAAAAAAAAAAACAAAACACAAAAAGTCGACAGGAACAGCTCTATAACGAAAAAACGAAAAGAGCGCGGATCGGGGTTTTTTCGTAGTTTTTTGAACACCTTACGGTGGATTGTATATGTATCCAAGGTGGGTGGAAAATAGGACTATTTTGGCATGAACGCTGAGGATTGGCCGCTTAATCTTGCACGAAATGGGCTACAGATCAACCAACATGAAGACGTCTTGTAGAGGCAAACATTTTCTCGACGATGGAGGTGGCAATGCAAGGACAGTCTTCGAAACTGTGAAAGAGGCTGGCTCTGTTTCCTGCAGGACGCCTCACTTCCAATCTTTTCTTCGTTTCTCCAAGCGAGTTCTAAGCGAGCTTATTATTTGGTGTTCATTTCAGTCGCGGGATTTTCATCATGGACTCCCGTACAATAATTATAGGGGACTAAATGACACTTCTTGGTGCAGAAAACTGGAAATAGATCGTTAAATGTGACGGACGTCGTTAGATTTGTGGCCTCACAGTGGTTCTTTCCTTTCCGAAAAAGCTGGATTTCTCATAGAGTTGTCGATACGCCGAGGAGAACGGCTAAAATGAGCAGCTATGAAACGACTTGAATCAGGGCACATCTGCCGTTGGAGAGAATTGCAAAATACGACCCCTTCCTAAATTTTTCACCCATTGCACTACTGCCCCCTCCCATGCGTGTGATCTCCGACATATGGCACCTGGGTAGAGAATCGTTAGAAGAAATTACATTGGAGATTGTACTCAGTTTTGAGGCACTATTTACACTATAGTATTGGTATAGGCGGAGACAGCGAAACACTCACTGTTCCTCTTTGCCAAGTCTCTCTTCCTTCCTGTCTTAGGTAGGGGAGGGGGGCACGTTCTGCACGGAATTGTTCTGGTGTGGGTCCTTGTCTCAGAGGTGCAACAATAAGGTATTGAAGTTAGACAGAACTCAAAAAGGACGGCTGACATCAGCTCATACATCAGCTCATAAGCGCATTCAAGAAAATCGGTTTTTTGCGGTGAGCAGGAATAATCCATTGTGAGAGGAAAAGCTAGAAAAAATGGGAAAGAAGAAAAATCATGAAATTGGCACGACGGTTCATCAATTGTGGTTCCTTCACAACAATTGTAGTGATCGTGTCGATGCGGGAGTGGCCACCTCCGCGTCGATACCCCAGTGATATCGACATATCCATATCGAACCCATCGTAAGATGTGAGAACGACAGGAATGCACTCCATTCCAATCAATCTATCTGAAACAACGGCGAAAAGCGGGTGCAGATCTTTTCATCAAGTCCATAGTGC